CACCTGTAAGTGGTCACTGAAGACACTGAAGAGCTGAAAAGGTAGACGCTGGGAGGGAGCAGCTCTTCTGAAAAGTCTGGAAATGAGTGGAAGATGACAGGTTGATGACAGAGGCGCAGTAGTGAGGGAAGACTCGTTTCAGCATCCTTGAAGGTGAGGGCAGGTGTCTGATGCAGGAAGGGGGCAAAGAGCCCAGCAGGTGAAGGGGCAGTCTTGGGGAGGAGACCCAGTTCCTCCAAAACCAGGGGGAAGGAAGGCTGAGTGAAATACAAGACACGCAGGCTGGGGCTCAAGGACAGCGAGTGAAAGAACTACCAAGCTCCCAACATCAATGGCTCAGCCCAGCCTGTCCTGGTCTATGACTTTCTCCAGCAGTGCTAGCCACCTCAAAGCAAGGACCCAGAAAACAAAGGTCGGGCGAATTTAGTGTTGTGTTCCACTGAGACAAAAGAGTAAGGAACTGAGAATGCCAGAGACAGTGTGGTGGAACTATTATTTGGGCAGGGGATTGTCCCAGGCAGAGAACAATGCTGGTCACTCCATATGCCCCTCCAGGTCCACCCTCCAGCCTGCTCTGTGCCCCAGGGGCTGTCCTCCATGGCCCACATCAAGGGACTCTCTCACCCTCTGATTCCCAGTTGGGTTCACTGGCAGGAAAAAGGAGGATGGGCTATGGTCAGAACATCCCACTGTGCCCGTCCCTGATCCTCACTGTTCCTTGGGGCTCCCTCACCCCTGCCACCTCTCTGCAAACAGTCCTTTACTAACCCCTTCCATTTGGCTCAGTGGGGCCCTAACTGACTTAGGCAGCACAGGTCCCATGGGCTGCCAAACAGGGGCAGGTGGAGGGAATTGTGGGGGGTGAGGGGAGGAAGAGGTGGATGTGCGGAAAGAGGGTAATGCTAGGATTTCCCAGTGAAGCTCAAGTTCCTATCTGGAATAACTAATGGGACTCTGTGGGATGGGAAGGGAGGTCAGTGGGTGAGAGAAGAATCCTGGGAGGGGAAGGGTGGCAAGTCACATTTTCTCCTGTGTGTGAGATGGCCTGTGCTGCCCTGCTGGTTTGTGAGGTGGCTTTCACTTTAAATAACAGTCCTCCTCTGATCCCTCTAAGCCCCAGCAGCAGCAGACCCCATGCTGACAGTAATTCCAGGTGACCTATTTTAGATCTGTAGCATCTACACAAAATCATCTGGCTTGTTCTGACCTGGCTTTTTGGCAGGAAGGGTTCTAGGTCCCAGCAGCCTGCTGAGGTTCAGCACTTTGTCACATCTTCCTCAGGCCTCCCTGAGGGGCCCCAGCATCTGGGCTGTCCCTGCTGATGCCTGCAAACAGTAGCTGTCTCCCCCACCCCTGCTATAATTAAAAACTGGCCCAAGTGACTCCATAAGTGGGCAGGGCCTCTGTGGTCCAGTCAGAGCTCTGAGCTGCTTGTCCAGCAACAGAAATGCAGATTGTCCCTTTTTTGACCCCATTACTTCAAGAACAACCTCCCTTCTTCCATTTTCTTGTGATAAATTCAAGGTAGAGACCACATTTTGCTCGCTCTTGAATACTGACCAGCATTGACTTATGGAAAGGAGTCGATATAACCTCCCTAACAATCAAAGAGTCTTTGCAAATCAATTAAACAACCTGAATTTCTCATTGGTCTGCTGAGAGGTGTTAGTGTTTCCTGGGAAATTAAGCAGGATTCTTTGCTGCAGGCCTCATCAGAGCCTTTAATATGCTACAACGTGCATTTCCAAGAGCATGGCCATCAAATGCAAAGGGTGTCCTGACCAAGTCCTTTCTACCAAGAGCATCTCTTGAGACTAGAATTTATGGAATACACTTTGGAAAATACTAATCAAGTCTAACTATAGTTTCACTGATGAGGAAGATAGTGGCCAAAAGAAAAAGTAACTGGCTGAGCTGGCTGGTGGGGTTCCATCCCAGAACACTTGTCTTCCAGACCAAGGCTCTTTTTCCCCCACTAAACATCTAACCACAGGTGCAAATCAACTATAGATTCTTGGGGATCATTCCCAGGATTTAAGGAAAAAATTATTTTCAATTTAATATTAAAGGGGCAGCCATTCAAAGCAAAACCCACCTTTAAAGAGGATCAAGACATTTTTGGCCTCAGAATAGAGTCCATTTTTTTCTTGATGGAGGGGGCATGAGTGAATGCCAGATGTGCTCCTGTGAAGTAATGCTCCACCAGGTCCTTCTGAAAATATCATAACCTGTGGGAGACAGGTGGGAACACCTGGCACTTCAACCCTCCCAATTTGCCTCATACTGACCATTCCAAAGCCCTACAAAACATATTCTGTTTATTCTGTCCAAGCAGTAAATATACAGTAAGTCCCCAACTTATGAGAGTTCCGTTTCGGGAGAACGTTCGTAAGTTGGATTCATTCATAAGTCCGACAAAGTGAGTCTTACATACCTTTGACACAAATATACAATGTAAAGCATAAAAAAAACTAAACACACAAAAATACTGTAAATAAACTATTTTTACTTTTACAGTTACCTTAAAATGGTGGTACAGTACAGTACAACAACTGGCACATAGGGGATTGCATGGAGTGAACTGACAAGTACAGAGTTACTAACTGGAGAAGGGAGGGTAGGTGGGAGATGGTGGAGCTGAAGGGTCATCAGCAATAGGAGATGGAGGGCAAGATGGAATTTCGCTCACACCTGATGTTGATGACACAGGTTTTTTTATGGATTCAAGTCTGTCTACCCTCTTGAAAAAACAATCCAATGATGTCTGAGTACTAGCTCTTTTTTTTCTCATCATAGATGACCCTATAGCACCGGACGGCACTCTGAATGGCTGCTGCAACCTTTGTGTATCGTTCTACTTTGGGGTCCTGTGCCTCAAAAACGAACAGTGCCTCTTCAAGTAAAGAAAATCCCCTTGCCATTTCCTGTGTTGTGAATCTCTTTGGTTCTTCAGTTACATCTTCCTCTTGGCTCTCTTTGTCTTTTCGCTGGGCTATGTTTTTGAGGGCTTTTGGGTTCTCTGAAAGGTAAACTAAGAGAGGCTTTAGTTTCATATCGCCAGAAGCATTGTCACCAAAGAGCAGAGTAAGTCTGTCCTTTGCTGTTTTGAAGCCTGGCATTACCTTTTCCTCTTTAATGATGTAACTTCACTCTGGCATCCTCTTCCAGTACAGTCCTGTCTCATCGACGTTAAAAACCTGTTGGGGTAAAGAAGCACCTTCATCAATAATTTCTCTAAGTGTTGCTGGAAATTCTTGGGCAGCTATGGTATCTGCACTCGCAGCCTCACCACTTACTTTTACGTTGTGAAGGTTGGCTCTAGCCTTGAATCTGTTAAATCATCCATGGCTGGCAGTAAAAGATGCACTCTGTTCACCCTGTTTTTTTCTTCAAGTCTTCAAACAGGCTTTTAGCTTGTTCTTGAATAAGCATTATGCTGAATGGGACTCAATGCTGATGCTGATCCTGCATCCACACACTGACAAGTTTCTCCATCTCCTCTATCACTTTACCACGTATTTTTGGATATTATTGTTGACTTCATTGGCACAGCAGACTTCACATGTTCCATGATTTTGTCCTTGTTCTTTAGAATTGTGCCAATGGTTGAACAATTCATGTTATAAGAATGAGCGATGTCTACCACCTTTTCGCCTTGGTCCAATCTCTCAATTAGTTTCACTTTTGTTTCCATGGTTATTGCTTTGCGCTTCCTAGCAGTCCCCTCCACATCACCACTGCTTTTCCTCTTGCTTCCGGACATCCTGGGCTCTGACTGAGCACTGTACTACTGTACACTATCGCACTGTACAGTAGGCACACAGCAGCACAACTGTGACAATGTCCGGCAGACACGTGAGCTACTTCCGTGATTTGTTCGCATCTATGAATGTTCATAATGTGATGTCCATTCGTATCTGTGAAAGTACGCAACTCAAGTGTTTGTAGGTCGGGGACTTACTGTACTAAAATTTACTTGATCCTATTATATTCAAGGTCTCTGTAAGGCTCTGAGGATTTCAAAGAGGAGTGGAGCAGAATTCCTTCTCTGAAAAGATTTTCTATCTGGTAGAAAAAATATAGACATCGCATGAAGCCAGACTGACAAGGCTACACGACAATGTGAACAAAATCTTAGGAGCTGATGGAGAGCAGTGTTTGCAAAACCCTTTGAATGCCTACCCTGCTAAGAAGCTTGTACACCTCAGCTTGTGGATCATGAAAGCTATGGAAGATGTTTCCCGTTTGAAACAAAGAACTCTGACCACAAAATGTTCTGTGACTCCATTTCTCATTGTCAACTCCCGTTCCCATTCCCCCTCCCTTAACCTCTTCTTTGGTTAATAAAGTACCCATCCCCTCTCCCCTCACCCCTCACCAAGGGCCTTGGTCCTGGAAGGGGTCCTAAGTCTGGCCCTAACCTCCCGGTCCTCATCACCCCTGTAAGAGGAGACTGACGCCAGCCAGCACTGCGGGTAGGTCCTGCCCAAATTCTTGCAGGCTGGGACAACGCAGCAAGTTCGCGATAGCTCCCACACCGCCACGAGAACCAGCATCACAATGAACAAGCGTTAAGAGCGAGCACAGGGGTTTTTAGGAGCCCACTCCTAAATTTAAATCATTTGGGATCCATCAAGTCTTTTGACAGACACAGGCTTAACAACTTCTCTCAGCAGCTTCCCCGTTTACCGAGCACAACTACTAGGCAACACGCATAGGAACGCCAATATGGCTGCTCCATTCCACGGAGTCCCACGGACGGAAAACGAGCTATCCCAAACACCTGCGTTAGCGAAGAACGAAGCCCACCAGCCAGAATTTAGACCGTCACGGACAGGAGTCTCCGCGGCTGCGCAGCAGGGGCAGCGAAGCAGCACTGGGCATGCACATTCTTTTCAGTGCCCAGGTACAGTCACAGGAGACGAGCGGACGCAGGACCGGGCGGAAGCGGAAGGCTGACGCCAAGGGGAAAGGAGCCCTCCCCGGAAGTTCCCCTCTCCGGAAGTCCCACTTGTCTCCGGAGTCTGTTCCGGAAGTGCTGCTGTAACGGGCGTGATGGCTTCAAGGTTACTTCGCGGAGTGGGAGCGCTTGCCCTGCAGGCCTTGAGGGCCCGCGGTCCCAATGCGGCTGCCGCCGTGCGCTCCATGGCGTCTGGAGGTACTCGGCCCGCCGGGGGTGCCAGGGGCCGGCGTCGTGGCCCTGCTGGGGAGTGGGGGGGGGTGCCAGCACAGCACAGTGGGGTTGGCGGTTCGTTTCCTCCTTGCCCCAGTGACCGCCCCCCAGCCCCGAGGGCCTCAGGCTCCGCGGGCGTCTCCCTGTAATTCCCGGCCGCCGCTGCAGCCGCCCACTGAATTGACCCCGCTGCGAAAGAATCCTAAACGAAGGTGCGAGTGACCTTGGGGGCAGGTGCCGCAGGCACGATGGGAGGAGCTAAGCAGCCCTTCAGACCCGCGCGCACCATCAGTTGGATGAACCCCGCTAGGACTCGTATTGACCTAGAAAAAAATGTGTGGCCTCGGTGGTTGGAGGAAGAAAATATTTCCCCTGTGCTGCCACCTTTGGGATGACCCGGTTTTCCTTGGAGGACAGTGGGTATGAGTAGCCTTTAGAAGCTTGTGATCCCACTTAAACTGTCTGCAAAAATTTACATATGAGCATTTTCTGACTTGATCATCATGAGACAACATAACTCACATATGTTCCTTTAGGTGGTGTTCCTACTGATGATGACCAGGCTACTGGACTGGAGAGGGAGGTCATGATGGCTGCGCGGAAGGGACTGGTGAGGAGAAAACTCCTTTCTGTGTCTTCACTGGAGCTCATGGCCTTGGATGGGACCAGAGCTTTCTTCTCTGGGAGCATTTGATTCAGGAAATCTGGCTGTGGGAACAGTACCATTAACCTCTGCAGGGTAGGGGTCATCCAGCATAATGGCTCAATTCTTGTTTTTTCAGGACCCATACAATATGCTAGCCCCAAAGGCAGCTTCGGGCACCAAGGAAGACCCTAATTTAGTCCCCTCCATCAGCAACAAGCGAATAGTGGGCTGCATCTGTAAGTACCTGCCCACGATTTTCTTAGCCATTTGTTTAGCATACCCTACTGTACATACAGGATGCTATAAGCTGCTTCAGATCTTTTGTGTGAGTGTACGTGTGTAAAGAGGATATGTGTGTAAATAAGTTGTTCTAAGGGTTCTGGCCTTCAAGCCTCATTATGCCCAAGTAGGTCATCCTTATTAGATGTTCTGTGCCTCTTCATCTGAAAAAAGGGAGGAGAGCTTGAACTGATCTGTTAAGATACCCACCATAACTTTGTGCCTCAGGAAAAGAGATTCATATTGAAAGTCTCCTCTTCTAGGCTGGATGGCCCTCAACCACCTTATTCCTTTTAGGTGAAGAGGACAACAGTGCTGTCATCTGGTTCTGGCTGCACAAAGGCGAGACCCAGCGCTGCCCTAGCTGTGGAACCCATTACAAGCTGGTGCCCCACCAGTTGGCCCACTGAACCCCTGAACTCACTTAAAGTGTGCTAGGTTTCTTCTTTCCAATAAAGACTAGCCATTGTTTTGGCTCTTTCTCCCAGAGTTGGCTGGTCTATCTCTCCTGTGTTTTTGAACATACAGATAATTCTTACATCGTGAATAGCTATTTATTGATATTAGCTTGCCATCCACTTGGGTACACTGAGACTGACAGTCCTATAATGCCACGATTGGGACTACCTCATACAGGGAAAAGCATGTGCTGTGGAGCCAGGTTGATTGGACTTGTCATGTTGGCTCCATCATCTAACTTTGTCACTAGGGACATGTTCTCTGAGGGTACATTATATCTGCAAAAAAGCTAAATACCTTGTGAGGTGTCAGAAGTCATAACAGAAGGAGCCTGGCAGATGGTAGGTCCTCACAGTATTGTTATAAAGACAGGGTGAACTGGGGAGGAGAGTTTTGGGGGTTTTGAAGTCTTGAAGGATTCTCAAGTTCAAAGCACAGTTCATGGGGATACTATCAGCAGAACCTAGAATATGGGACAATTCCAGAAACCAGTGACCAGGTGTTGTCAAATATGTTGCAAGGAGAACAAAGGGCAGGGAGAACCTATAGAACAGACTGGATGTGAGGGAGACAGCAAGCAAAGCAATGTGTGGACCTTGTTCGAATCTTGATTTGTAAAGAAAATAATTTCACCCCTGGATATATGATGTTTAAGGATTTGTTAAATTTTTAGGTGTGTTAATGGAATTCATTTTTTGTGCTTTAGAGAAGATACTGAGGTACTGACAGGTAAAATATGCCTGGGATTAGCTTTAAAACTGGGAAGAAGGGCAGAGTGCTTTGGGGTATACTTGATCCCTTGCAGCCAGGTACATGAGGGGGGGGTCACTGTTCTTCCTGCTTTTGTGTGTATGTTTGAGCTTTATCACAATAAAACAGCACCAAAAAAAGAGTTGGGTAGGAGACTAGCAAACAGCCCAATTTAACCACTTTATATTTGTGACAGCTTAGACAATTACATTCTCAAACTATGATTACCTGTAAAATAGAAACAGTACTTTTTCATTTTGTGTTGGGATTAGCCACAGAGGTGCTTTAGTTACTGTCTCAAGATTGATTTAAACTAGATCTTTTACTTGAACTGATGATAGAGTCCAAGAGAAAAGCTCCTTTGCCCCAGGCTTGCAATGTCTCTTCTTAAAGGTACAGGGAAAATTGCTTCCATTTCTTGCTGTCAGTCATTCTTGTCTCCAAGAAATGCCCAAGCATTTACCTGTCATTCAAGGCCTTTCCCTTTGGGAAAGGGAACACCTAGGTAGCCATCTATGAAATCTACGCCTACCACTCCCACCTTAAATGACTCCCCATATCACTGATCTGATCTGTCTAATCCCTCCCTCATCTCTAAGCCCACTTTGCTGCTTTTCCCTCTGTCTTTTAGACATTTTAACCAATTCTTCCCTTAAAAAAGAGAAAAATCTCCAGTACATTTCCAGACTGGCGGGCAGAGGAACAGCTCCCCTGAGATGTGCCTGTCCTAATGCCTGGAAACTATGAATATGTTAGGTTCCATAGTAAAAGGTTATTAATGGCAACAGACGGAATGAAGATTGCTAATCACCTGACTTAAAAGATTCTCCTGGTTCCCTGGGTGGCCCAATAAGCACAAAAGAGGCAGAAGTCAGGGGGATGTGACTGGAAGAATGGTCAGAGACGCAGTGTTGCTGGTCTGAAGATGGAAGAAGGGGGCCACAGGCCAATCCACACAAGTTGGCAAAACAGAAAATGATTCTCCCGTAGAAGCTGGCAAAAAAGAGAAAATGATTCTCCCGTAGTCTCCAGAAAGAAATGCAGCCCTGCGGACACCTTGATTTTGGGCCAGTAAAACCCATGTCAGACTTCTGTACAACTGTATTTGAATTGCTTTAAGCCACTAGGTGTGTGATCATTTCTTTACGGCAGCAGCAGATTAGCATTTACTGCAATTTTACTGTACAGAAGAACTGTCCTTTCTCCCCATGTGTGTATGTATTATAACGGAGTAGACTCGCGACCAGTTTATTCGATGGCTTATAATCCATTACGGTTTTGACTACTGGGTACTCTCAGAGCTGTTGGTTCGTGTGTCCTTTAAGACAAGCCAACTTCCTTTTTGAGCACATCCTTACTTTATGTACCACAAAATATTCCAGGCTTTCTTATACTCCCTCTGCCTCAGATCAGAATTTCTCCAAGGAGCTCTGGTTCCTTTTTATCAAAGATGGTACAGTAATACCTTGGTTTGCGAGCGTAATTCGTTCCGGAAACAAACTACTCGTATTCCAAGACATCACTTGTTTACCACATTAAAATGGATTAGAATGTTTGCTCGTTTTGTGGAACACTCGCAAAACAAGTTACTTGCAATCCAAGGTTTTACTGTATTTAGAAACCAAGATCTGGGCACTATATGTGCTCATTGCAACTGGGTATCACTGCCTTGAGGCCCTCCCAGCAGACAGGGCTAGGAAATACACAAATATTTCTAACCCTAGCACTCAGGCAGATGCATATTTCAGTGTCTACCTGAATGTGTATTAACCATGAGTCCCCACCTCCAATCCCAACCCAACCCCACAGGTTCATTCTAGCCTTACTACCTTCTCATCTGTGGCTTTGCTCCAGCAGTGAGAAACTTGGCAGGGCCAGAGCTCTGTAACCACATCATCCCTGCTAGGAGGAGGGGAATAGGGAGGATGCTGCATCATGCTTGGCTTGAAGGATGAGATCTTGACATATGGGAACGTCATTACCAGCACGAGGACAGCTGGCAGGCAAAGCAGGGCATGATGATGTGGAAGCCTAAAACAGGAAAGGGACAGACCCCAAAGGGACATCACCAAATGCAGCATGTAGTTCATGAAGGGGATTTCACCAGGCAGGGGAGAACCACTTGCCACTTGGGATTAGGAAGTGGCAGAGCCAAGGTTGCCTGGGTGATAGGTCCAACAGCAAACGGATTTGGTGGGAAGGAGAAAGGAGCTGTGGTCTTAAGCCAGGGTGGTAGTGGCCATCATGGAAAAGAAACAATGGGCAGGAGAGGTACTACAGGAGAACCAACAGAACTTGTTAACTGGCAGAATGTGGGGGAGGTAAGGAAGAGGGAGGAGTCCATAAGGATTCAACTTGTATGGGTGGGAGAGTGGCATGAACAGAACCCCAAACAAAGGGTTTTCTGTAAATTCTGTTTCTGCCTTGAGGGTGGGAACCGGCTTAACTGCTCTCTGACCACTGCCTCACAAAATGCCCTGTAAAGGCAGCCTGACTCAGTCATCTCTCCCCTCCTACCTGATCCCAGTTTTGGGCCCTCTCTTAGCCCCACCAACTCTGACTACTTTCAACACACAGCTCTAATAACCATCCTCCCATGGCTGGCCACCTATCACCCAGGACACAGCTAGAAACTCTCAAGACCCTCCACATGCTGGCCCCAACCTACCTTTTGGGTGTATCCTGCCTTCCAGCCAGAGACCACTTTCCCTTCCCTGCTGACTTGGCATCACTGGGGTCCATGCCCTTCTGTCCAGCCCCGCTGGCCCCAGGCATCTCCTTGAGTTCCTACCTCCACCTGGAACACCCTCTCCCACCTGGCTGACACCTTCCGGACCTGTGCAAGTCAGCCTGCCCACCTGCTGGGTTAGATGCTCCTCCTTTGGCCCCCACAACTTTGTACTGAATCAGTCTGTTTACCTTTCTCTGACCTGAATGCTTTGAAGGTAAAGATACGTCTTATTTACCACTGGCCCAAACGTGGCACCCTCCTGGACACACTAAGTTTGAATACTTGGTGAAGGAAAGAAAGGGCGGGCACTCTGGACTGTCACTTCTCAGTGCCCCCTCTGCCCCTCCTGTCCTCAGCTCACCTTCAGAGCCCAGCTCACCGACACGGCCTTTGCCATGTCCCCATCACTCTCCTTTCTGACCTGTCTGAATGCTGGGCCTGCATCATGGTGGGTCTGTCAGCCTCAGCCACGTCTGAGCAGGGCAGCAGAGGTGCTCACAGAGCATGCGAGGACGTGGGGGCACCACGCCCCAGTCCTGCCCACCAGGAGGCCCTGTCCAGGGACAAGGCCGAGGACAGCAGCCTGTTCTCTGCCTCTCCCTGGCGGAGGGCAGCAGGCGGGTCATGAGGCTGGGAATTCTGCCACCAGGTTGACAGCCCAGCCCTCTGGGGCCTCCTGTGCCATGTTGTCCTGCCAACCACTGAAACCCTCAGGCTTCTGGGCGAGAGGCAATGCCATGCTGTGATCTCACTGGTCCTTTCTCTCAAAGTCCCCAGGGATGGGCGAGCAAACAGCACAAGAACCACCAGAAACAGAGCTACACATTGGGCCTTGTCCATAATTACTACTATAATGATTTACAAAAAAGTTTTCTTCAGGCAACTGTGTTAAATTATTGTACAGATCTGGGAGGGGGAGAGGGGCCCTGGTCCAGGGTGATGAAGACCTCCTTTGTGGGAGAGGAGATGTGGCTCCTTCACCCCTCAGCCCCATCATCCCTCGGGTCTGACTCCTGATTAAGTGGCTTGCCCTCAACCCTTCCCTGTCCAGGGTGCTGGGGCAAAGGAGGGGGCGCGGAAGTCAGCAAGTGCTTTGAGAGGGGAGCGTGACAGACTGTCTGCCCAGACCCCGGGCATGGCCTGCCCCAGCTCCAAAGGGTCCAACCCTGGGCCAGACCCCCAGTACTCAGCCTGTACCAAGATGTCCACTCAGGAAGATGGGGCACAGAGTGTGGAAGGTCAGGGATGCCTAGGAGTGGCTGGCCCTCTTTGCTACCCTGTCGGGTCGGAAGAGGAGGTGGCACGAGAAGCAATGATGCACCAGCGGTGAGCTGCTGGACACCCCCTCCTCCAGCCACTGCCAAGACTGCTTACACAGGCAGCCAGGCATGCTGGCCCTGGGAGGGACCCTATCAGGGGAAATGGAGGCATCTGGGGGTCTGGCCTTGGAGCTAGGGAAGCAGCCCTGAAGGTCAGAGCCAGGAACCATGGACCTAAATGGCCCTGCCAAGGACACCCAGAACCACCCAAGGCTGGGCTCCTCAATTCCTATATTCTAGCTCAAGACTCCCACCCATGCAGCTAAAGGTTACCATGTGTGCACGCGTGCGTGTGCATGTGTGTGCGTGTGTGTGCACTGCCTGCTTGGCATGCAGGGGACCCGAGGCCCAGTATAAGCCCAGACTGGAGAGGCCAAGGGCTCTGGCTCCCTGTCCTCCCATTCTCTTAACACGCCACCCCTCCTCCTTGGGCACTAGAAGGTTTTACGATGAATAGCACGGCAGCCATCCTCTTCGTACTCCTTCTTGGAGACCCACATCTTCTTAAAAGTGTCCAGTGAGGCCAGGATGGAGCCACTAAGGACAGAAGGATGGTGTTCTTACAGACCCGAGGGCTGAGCGAGTTGCCCTCCCTGGGCACTCAGAGCTCCCTTCCCCTCACCTGGGAGGGAAATCCACCCACCTCCACCTGGCCTGGGCCAACCCTGGGGCAAGTGTCTAGGGCAAAATGTTCTCCTCCCAGAGCCCACCCCATGAGCCCTGCCTCACCCGATCCACGTGGAGTACAGCCGTTCCTGAGGGGCTGAGATCTAGAGGGAGCAAGTGGCAAAGTAACTGCCTGTCCTCACACAGCAGCCCCTGTCCCAGCCTTGGGGGTGACTCCTGTAGGGCCTGAGGCCAGACAGCAAGTGCACCAGCCAGGAGCAGGCGGGTGGAGAGGAGCGGCTGGGCTGGATGTGACAGGTGCCCTGTCTTCCCCGGATCAAGGCTGCCCAGCACCCTAGTGCCCCACGGAGACTCCCTGCAACCTCACCTTGATTTTGACATCCTTTGGGGCAAGCTTCTTCACCTCACTTAGCAATCGGTCACCGAAGCCTGTGAACACAAGGCTGGCTGAGCCTGGGGTGCACTTCCAACCCTGTTACCTCTAGCTCCCCATATCCAACCTGGTGCCCCCAGCTGCTGCCCCTCTGTTCAACAGTTCTTTCCAGGATTAAGGGCAGAGGTGAGCCACCCCAAGAGCAGAAAGACCCAGCACCACACCTGCAAGAGGGTCCAGCTTCCAAAGAGAGGTGACATGAGGTGGAACCCCAGTCACATGGCTCTGCTGGCCCCCAAGCTCTTCCTTACCCAACACTCCAGCGGCCAAAACCCGCTGAAAGCAAAGTCAAGGGCAACAACAAACCAAGAGGAAACATCTATCATTCTGGCCATTGAATGGGCAAAGATTGCTGCAGCATCGGGCGGGTGCTGGGGCCTCTCGTGCCTGATGGGTGGGGCATGCTCTCAGCAGAGGAACATGGGCCATACCCACCAAATCACAAAGGCACACCCACCCTGTGTCACCACCCTGTGTCTACCCCAGGGTTTGCCCTTCAGGTGTATTCTCACCACATGAGTGACACTGCAGGATGGTAACCATTAAGCCTCTGTGATTAGAAATGACTGTAGCTCTCTGAAAGGCCATCAGCGGGACAGCGGCTAAATGGCACATCTGCTCGGTGAAATACTGCATGGACTTTGCACAGGTAGGAAAGAGTTTTCAGATCAGCGCTAAGTGGGCCATGTCCGGTCGGGATCATAGAGAACACTACCACGCACACATACGTGTGTGTGTGTGTGAGTGCGTGTATGTGTGTGTGAGTGTGTGGTGCACATTTGCTCAGCTATGCAGGGAGGTGGCTGACAGCTGCCTGAGAAATCAGCAACTCCCGTGTGGCCAATGGGGAAAGGAGACTTCATCTATCATATTTTAGGTCCCATGTAAACTTACCACCTATTTACCAAATAAATAAAATTTACTTTTAAATCTTACTCTTTAAAAAAAAAAATGCTCACTGAGCACCAGGAAGCCCATAGAAAATGGGCCATGGCCCAGGCTGCAGGTGAGGGTCCAGCTGGCCTTGGCCTCTTGTCCTGCCACCACCTCCCGACTGGGGTACCTTTGAACAACGTGGAGCCACCCGACAGCACGATGTTGGCAAACAGCGTTCGGCGGAGGTCCAGGTCGGACTTGTGGATGGCAAAGGCCAGCACCTCATGTAGCCCCTCACTCTCGTCCCCCACCAGGTCTGGCTGGAACAGCAGCTCGGGGGCCCGGAATCGCGCTGGCCCCACCTTCGGAACACGAGATAGAAGCCAACAGTCTGCCTCCTCCCCCAGATCTCGGCAGCTCTGCTGTCACCCAGGGTCAGGCCTGGTGACTTACGTCGAGCATGCTGCCATCTGGCAAGGTGTACTGCACCTTCTCTGTCTCCAGGGCCTCATCCTTCTGCGGGTTAATGGACAGGTAGCAGGCTCGCTGTGGGGGCAGGGACACCCCTCAGAAGGCTGGGACCCAGACACCCACCCCAGGACTCCACCTCATGTCTCGGTCCTGTTGCTCTCATGCCCTTCCAGGTTAAGTTCACTCCCTCCTGCCCTTCGTCACCTCTTTGATGGTCCGGACGACCTCAAACTCAGCAGAGGTATGGAAGTCGACGCCTTCCTTACGCAGCAGCAGCCGGAGATAGCGGGACACGTCGCGGCCAGCTATGTCCACCCGCATGATGGAATGCGGCATGGCAAAGCCCTCATAGATGGGGACAGCATGGGTGACCCCGTCCCCCGAGTCTAAAACCACTCCCGTTGTGCGTCCTGTTGCGTACCTGTCAGCAGGTCAGAATCCCTTCACGTCTACAAGTAAGGGACAGAGACCCCCCTACCCCTGGAAGGGACCTGGGACAGCTACATGATCTGGGCTGAAAAAGGGACACGAGAAACTCGCTAAAGGAACAGTTATGGGAGAGAGGGCTGTCTCCACAGAGAAGGCAGACACTTGGTGGTCTCTGGCGGGAGGGTGGCACAAGAGGAGAGGGCTGGGAGCACTCACAGGCTGAGCACAGCCTGCATGGAGATGAACAGGGCCGGCACGTTGAAGGTCTCAAAGAACACCTCTGCCGCCTTCTCGCGGTTCTTACTCGGGTTGAGCGGGGCTTCCGTCAGAAGGACAGGATGCTGTAAGAGATGGCAGCTGTGGGCATGTGCCGGCAGCCTGGGCCCGGCAGAGGTCTCTTAGGAGCCGTGGCTGCAGACCGCTGTCCTTCCTTCCTGAGACACTAGCTTGTTATCTGCCAGCACTTACTCCTGCAAAGAGCCAGCTCTCTCTGGAAGGTTCTGCTTGGCCGCCCCTGACTACTGTGCCCACAGACACACACAGTGAAGAAGAGGTGGCAGGGCCTGCCACAGTACAGGAAATGTGGGAGCCCAACTGGAGGGGCACAGCGCGGGGACTTGGGTTGCCGCACCTCCTCGGAGAAAGTCTGCAGCTGGTCCTTGGAGTAGACGTACTGCCAGATGCGCTCCATGTCATTCCAGTCCCGCACCACGCCATGTTCCATGGGGTAGCGCAGGGCCAGCAGCCCGCGGTGCTCCTGCCAGGACAGGGACAGGACAGTGGGAAGGCCACTGTGGCTCCAGGCCCCTCCCTCAGCCCCTGCTTCTGCCTTCCTGGAAGCTGCCCTTCACCTATCCCAAGTAGAACCACTGTGGCTTACTAAGTGTCTCCACGCGGGTCCTGAACTCAGTGCAGGCTCAACTGTCCAGCAGCATCTCGGGCTCTCGGAGCCCAGCCAGCCTGAACTGGCCAGGGCCCAGGAGGGCGGCAATGTGCTCCCTCCCCTCCCACACTTCTCTATACTCACTGCCAGCATGTTCTCCCCTTCTCTCCCCACACATGGCCCAGCTTCCACCTCACCACTCAACGGTTACTGCTCTTGTCACACTAGGAGCCTCTCTGTGGCCGACCCTGTACAGTCCCCTCCTGTGGTCACCCTTCACTCCTGCTCTTCCCAGCCCCCCAGCCAGTGCTCACATCTCCTGCACAGACCTGCCCTCCGATGTCCTCCATAGAATACCACTTGGTCTCGCCCCACAGCCATGACTCCTACTGAGCCATGTCCAGCAAGCCCCCATCTGCACCTCCAGCTCAGGCCCCAGAGCTGGCCCCCCCACACTGTGTTCCCTGGGCGCCTAAACTGCACTTGCTTGTCATTCTCCCACCCCACATTTGCTCCTCCTGAGGGCTTCCTCCGGCCGTGAGGCCCCTGGCCAGTCACCCCGGTGAGGCGCAAGAGGTGGCCCCACAGCTCTCGTTGGGATCGGTTATTAAGTCTGGGTGATTCAGGCTCTTAAGTCACTTTTTAATCAGTTCTTTCCTCTGCAGCTTCCAAAAGACAGGCATGAAATTATCTAACTTCATGGTGCCCCCAGCCCCCGAACCATCGCCCCATCGCAGGACAGAGTTCTTCAGAGCTGGAGCCTAGAGAGCCCAGGAGGGCACCCGGCACACGGCCCAGAGAACAGTGTCCCCGGGGTCTCCGAAGGACAGCTTGGAGCCCCACAGATGCTCCTGGGACAATAAGGACCCCAAACCCAGGCAAAGGCAGGCTCCACAGGTGTTACCTCTGCTTTTGGTCCAATGAACAGGTCCCCCTCCAGGGCTCCAGCCATCACCCTCATGTGCTTAGGGCGCCCAACGCTGTGAGGACAGGTAATGTCAGTGAGGTGGGCGGGGGACACGGCTGAGTCCAGCCCCGGAAAACCAAAGTCCAACTCCAGTGGTCAGGGAAGTACTGCACCCCAAAGCATCAGGATGTGGCCATGGGGCAAAAGTCGGAACCCAGGCCTATGGGACATGGGACCAGAGCGGGCTTTGGCAGGACAGAAAGCTTAGGTCAGAAGACAAGGTGTCCCCTCCCCTCCCCATCCTCCTTCCCAGAGAGGGCTGAGAGCCCTGGCAGAGGGTCAGCTGCAGCCAGTGACTCAGCCCATGCTCTCGACCTCAGGAGGGCTGGGCTGCCACCACCGTCTGCAGGCTGAGGCAGGATGGCTCCAGGAAGCTGGGTGGCGGCCCCCTTGTGCACCCCTCTCTCACTCAGTCGATCCTGCCCCTTCCCACTGCCAGGGCTTTCAGAATAGAGATTCCAAAATTTGACCCACGTTCCCTGCACATCAACCGGAACCTTAATTACACCCAGTGGGGATTCAGAAAGGAAAGCTGGAGCCTTACAGGGTACTCCATGCTGGCTTGTCCCCAGACCATAGCCAGCCACTTTGGGGGCCTCAAGACCCCCATCCGGCTTAGGCCAATCACTCTAAAGCCCCTCGGATTTGAGAGGTGATGCTGTCGAGGGAAAACTTCACAATGGGCTGGAGTTGCCAAAGGTGCACCTCAGGTTTCCTCTGGATTTCACCTCCTCTGACCCCCGCCATCACCAGCACCATTCAGGGAAAGACCCCCTTGACTGAAACAAAATATTTTGTAGTGTCTGAAAATAAGTAAGCTCCAAAGAAAAGCTCTCCTGGGAGGAAGGGTGGCTGTGCACTAGCTCCCCACACTTTCTCCTGAGATCGGGTCTTTCTCTTGGAAATTGTCTCCCTTTTATTCTTACTGCTGCTGCTACCACACCCTGTCCCCAGGGGAAGGCTGGCAGCTTCTCCTCCACTGCTCAGGGAAAGACCAAAGTCAGATTCCAAAGAGGAGGGGGAAGCCCAGAGCACCTGTCTGCTCCTTCCAGAGCCCTCAGCAGCAACATCTGGTGTCTTCCTTCCCTACAGGTGGGGGTAAGGCTGGCCTCAAAGAGAGCTGTGACACAGGACCACTGTTCTCCTGGGAAGCAAACAAAAGGGTGAGGGCTGCTGCCTGGGCGAAACTTACTAGTTTGGGAAACAGTATTTGGGAATCTGGTCTCCTGCAAAGCCAGCCTTGATCACCCCCGAACCCTGAAAGGAAAAACAATGTTTAGCTGCCGGCATGGAGGGTGCAGGCTGCCGGACCATGGTAGCTGGGGAGGAAGCCGGGATAGATGCTGCCAAGAGGGCATGTTCATTCACAAGTACACCAGTGGCTCAAAACAGTGTGTGTGTGTGTGGGGGGGGGGCAGCAAGATTTTGCACCCCTTCCCGAAATTCAACAATGTCTGGTTGCTACTGGCATCCAGTGGTAGAGGTCCGGGACACTCCTAAACACCCTACATGCACAGGTCAGCCCCTCACAAGTGAGAATGGTTGAGCCCAGAATGCCTGCAGCGAGGACCACGGAGCACCCTCTGCACACTCCAGGGTCAACCCCAGGCAGGAGAGATCCATGGCAAAGCCACTCCTGAAAGCCAGCTAGAAGCAGCCCCTAAGCACAGTTGTTTTCAACAGCTCCTATCCCCCCTGCCTCCAGCAATGGGATCACACACAGAGCCCACTGGGAAGACCACTCGGTGCCTGGGGACACTGGCATCTCTTCCATGGCTTTCCCAAAGACCGCAAGCAAAGGAGAACTTGTCCTGCCACTGCCCTAGTCTGGAAGCTGGACTTTGGCTCTCACAGGGACCTGGCATCTAGAACCCTCCCATCCAATGAAGAAATCAGCATCCCACCCCCTCTTCCCAGATTTACATCACACTTCCTTTCCGCAGTGCATGAACAAACATCCCCGAGTTACAGAGCAGCTGGAGGCCAGGAGACCAGCAGGCAGCCCTCTGAACTCAGAAGCTTGGTTAGTCTGAGTGACAATTTGCCCACCAAGAAGGGAGGGGCCTGGTCCCTCCCTGTAGCCTGCTGGAGAGCATCCCTAAGCTCCGTTTTAGCATTGTTAGGAAACACCCCCTTGATGTGACTCAGGGAGCCCACATGGGTACTCCAAAAAAGATAGCTGTTCAGGGATGACACGAGGGTCACGTGGGAGGGAGACAGATCTCAGAAAGAGCAGGGAGGCGTTATCAAAAACTGCAAGGCTCGAACATCAGAGGCAGATACCCAGCTAGAGGCAGTGCAATAGACCCCTGCCCTTCAGCTTCCTTCCCAAGGACCAGAAATTTCTGAGGCTAGAAATCCTCAGGGGGCAGCTGACAGCATGGAGTCCCAGTGCTGAAGGACATAGCACAGGAAGCTAAGCATCTTTCTTTGAGGCTTCCAGACAATTATCCCCAAATGCTTATGGATCCTAACTCTCTTGGGCCCTGCCGGCTGTGCCACTTCAGCAGAGGGTCAAAGTAGGCAAGTGGCCATCCAGGAGGTGGTGTATTTGTGGCTGACGGAGCTGAACCTGCATTTTCCCCCAAGTCGTAGGAAAAGAGCCCAGTAGGGCTGTCCACTCTGGAGGTCCTGCCTGGGGGTGCAGCCCCTTGGGAAGTGCTGTTAGAGGTCACCAGGCCAATCCTCTCCACAAGGCGAGGCCAGCAGTGTGCAAAAGGGCAAATGCCATCCCTCCTCTATCAAGAGGGGCAGCCAAAGGCACAGCCCTAAAAAGGGATAAAAGCGCTGTACTCGGCACCAGCCCAGCGACCCCACTCTGAACCGAGCGGGGTCCGGGGTGCGTGCCCGGGCCGGGCAGCCCGCGGTCACTCCTGCTCTGCCGAGATGCTCATCATGGGCTGGCTGAGGCAGGGCTCGGGCATGGGCTCCGCGGCGCCGGCGGGGGCTGGCCCCACGGCCCGGGCTACAGGGCCAGGCGGGCGCGCGGGCCCAGGGAGCGGGCAGAGCGCGGAGCACCAGCTCAAGCTGGCGGGTTCCTCCCGGCGCCGCCGCATGCGACCCGCGGGCGGGGCGCCCGCCCTCCCCCGGCTGCCGGGCCTCACGTTGTCGATGACCACGGGCTGGTTGGCGATGATGTCGTAGGACTCCATGGCCGGGCCGGCCCTGCCCAGCAGGCGGGCGGCAGGAGGGACTGGCGGATGCACAGGCGGGCGGACCGGACCGCAGCGGCTACAGACGCGGGGCCGCGCCCCCCCCCGCCCGGAACGCGCAGCCTACGCGAGCCGGAGGCTCCCTGGAAGGTGCGCCCCGCGGCCAATCACCGCTCCCAACTGGGCGGATAACGGCGCGCACCCCGGGCCCGTTACGGGCAAAGGAACCGGGCAGTGGGAACCGGCCAGCCAATTGCGGCCGCGGGGAAGAACTGCCGGGGCGCTCCCAAGGTAGGCTGCGCTGTGCGGGGATGACGTCATGGCCCCGCTCTTAAAGGGGACGCGGGAGAAGTCAGGCGCTCGGGATGTCACCGGTCCGGAAAGACCTCTTCCCGATCCCCAGCGCCTCCGTCTACACCTTTGTGGGCGCGCAGTTCCCAAGGATGCCCGCGCTGGATATTATCACCCAAAGCATTTCTTTACTGAGCACTGAGGACGAGCCTCTTCCTTGTAACAATTACATTTTCGCGGTAACTTGGTAGCTGGCGTTTATCCAGCGCGTGCTATGGTGCTTGCGGAGCACTTCTACCCACTTTACATGGATTACATTATTAAACCCAGTCAATAAGTCTACCAGGTAGTTGTATGATTATTCCCATTTTACTGATGGGGGCAACGAGGAGCCTCACATTTATGTAACTTGCCCTAGGTTATAGAGCTGGCAACAGCTGGGGATTAGGCCTCCAGCCGTGAGGGGGAGTCAATGGTGCAACAGTCTTAAAATAACTTATTAAGCTGAGTCATAGTGATTGGCCTCTATATATACCTTTCCCATTAGATCGTGAGATTACATTTGGTAAAATTGAAGAACATTACACAGAAAAGTGCAGAAATCATAAATATTCGTTCAATGGTTTATTATAATTTATACATGTCGTTGAAGACTGTAGAGCAAATTAAGCTTGGAGGCAGGAGTGCAGGCTCCTCAATTATCTGCTGAGATAACCAGGAAGAGGAAGAGCTCAGAAACCTTACTTTGGAGGGAGAAACAAAGAGAAAGAGAGGGAGAGAGAGAGAGGCAGAGGTGGGTAAGAGAATGATAGTGTGGAAGCGAGTCCTCCAAACCCTGTAGGGCCAGCCACTCCCTCCTGCTCTTTGAGCCACCCTCTCAGCATCTCCCAAACAGCACCTTCTTTTCTCACCTGAAAGTCACCCTAGCACTCAGATTTCTTCTCACTCTCAGTAATTTACTTACACCCACTTTAGTGATAAAGACTGTCGACTTGGAGAAGGATTATACCTGTCAAAAAGGACTCCTCATGGTTGACTGGGCCCAAATTCATAATCAGAGTCTAGTAGCCATTGTTTGCAGAGCACTCCCACCCGCCAACACACAGGCACACACAGCACTGAATTGCTGCATTACTGCATTACTGCATTTCGGTGGAAAAACCACAGACTAGGATGCCAAAACGCCTGCGCTGTGTTCCTGCCCAATGAAGGTGGCCCTTATAAAGGACTTCTTGGATCTATTTTGACCAATGGGCTGAGACCAGCCCAGTCTAATCAGAGCTGCACAGTTATATCCTCATTTGCATCTTTACTGACCAGTTAGAGTGGCTCCATAATGACCAAACAGGACATTATGATTCTGACCAATCAGGACATTGCAATTTGGACCAATCAAACTGTGCGAATTTGGATCTTTCTTTGCATAACAATGGACCAATCAGGGACCAGGGCAGGCACTTTCTCTATATAAATGGGCCTTCGCTTTGTCTCGGAGCACACTTTGGGTTTCCACGGTTTCCTCCATTTCCCTGAATAAAGTCTGGCTTTTTACTGTACCCTGGATTGAGGATTCCTGTTGGCCTTGGATTAGTGGCAGTAATCTTTTGTTGGCAAGACAAAATGCACCAATGCAGATAAGTTCTTAGCAGATATGGAGGAACCCATAGGGTGGGGTCCTTAGGGAATTTCCCTAGATTCAGACCCCAAAAGAAAGAGATGATGGAATCATGGGCCTGATGCCACCTCCTCCTGGTTATAATGAGGGTGTGAGTTTTGTGTTGTTTTATATGTTTTTTTTTGTTGTTGTTGTTCTGTTTTTATTTTATTTTTTTTGAGATATTTTAGAGAAATAAGATTTATGCTGCTGCCATTACCTAATGTTATGGGTTGAATTTTGTCCCCCACCTCCCACCCCTAACTTTATATGTTGAAGTCATATCCCCCAGTATCTCAGAATGTGGCTTTATTTGGTGTCTTTACAGAGGTAACTAAGGTTAAATGAGGTCACTAGAGTGGATCCTAATCCAATATGACTGGTGTCCTTATAAGGGGAGGAACTTTGGACACAGACAAATATGGAGGGAAGAAGATGTGAAGGCATGGGGAGGAGACGGCCAGCTGTAAGCCAATGCAAAAGAAAATGCAGGGAAAAACGTGCTGTTAAATGTGCTAAAATATAAAGATTTTTCCTTTGAAAGTAGTGTAATACTTATAAAACATAACAAGGGAAACACTGATACGTGAGTGACAACATCATGCTTTTGTTTATAATATTTTTGGTGTTATAATTTTATGTAATACAATAAATAATACATAATGTGAAATCTTGACTTATCCTAAGATTTTTCTGGCTAGTCTAGCCACTTCCAATTCACTTAAGCTGATTTAGTACAGTTTTTGTCACTGGCATCCTCAGGCCACAGTGCTCGCAGAATGGAGTAAGGCCCTGCAGGGTGCCAGAGTCCTCCTCCCATCTCTGTCTCCAGACCCTGACCCTCCCCCTTCCAGCTATAGAACTGCCTCCACCCATTCCAGCTGTGACTTCACAGTCGGGCGGGTTCCACAGTATCCTGGAGGTCAGGCCATTCTTTCTGAGGATTTCAGGAGCTTTGCTTCTCTCTACTGGTGTCCAGACCATGGTAAAGATGAGAGGAACAGGGACTCTCTTATTTGTCCTCTTCCTGGACTGTTGGCAGTGTGCAGACAGGCATCACCCTGTCCCCCTGGTTGAAGGTACCGTCACAAGCATATTGCTGGGACAGATGGAGAAGTGGGAGACTCACTCTGAGCCTCCTCCTGCAGGTCCTGGTGTGGTGAACCTGGGGCCTCTCCTACCCCCACTTTCGTCCTCTCCCTGAATCTGCCATAGGAATTTCTTGCTCGGGAGAAGTGTCACGAGCTCCTGAAAGGACAGTCGCCACAGTTTGGTCTCTTTCTGAAAGTCAAGGGAACATTAACCCCTTGGCAGGGCCCTACGTCCCTGTATGGTACTCGTGATATGAGTGGGGAACAAAGCCCCGACACACAGGTTCAGATAAAGTGAGTAACACAGCTTTATTTGGGAACCAATGTTCCTCCAGAGGCCAATGCTCTGGTAAGCACAGAGGCTTATACAGAATAGAATAGAATTTAATAACGAACCAAGTCCCAGAGTCAATCGAGATGGAGAAGGACCCTGGTCCGGGAGAGACGACTGGGCCCAGAATGGGTCTAAAGCAAGCTTGTCTTGCAAGGAAGAACTTTGGAGAGTCCCAGAGCATCGCGGCTTGCCCCTCGCAGAGGGTCTTAGCCGGAGGGCCCAGTATGACTACTCATGGCACTGCCCTTGAGATCTACTTTTATCCTCTTTTCCTTGGGCTTGTTTACTTCTTAGGTGATAACCAGAAGTTGTTTAGGTGAACGTGTTTACCACTCAATTTTGTTATGCACAGTTTCACACAAAAACATAACCATGTTTATTATCATGTATACGCTGTACACACAAACATGTTTACTTTCACTTTACTCTTATCAGTCTCACACATGTGCAGCCTGGCTTGTGTCCCTACTAGTAAACAACTTGTTTTGCAAACCTAAATCCAAAAACAACCTTGTTTATAGTATATTTTATATGCTGTATACCAGAAGGGAGTAACTTTAACATTTTCCCTAACTTTGCAGCTTTCTCAGAATCCAGAGTCCCACAGGAGGGTAACATACATGCACACACATTTTAACTTTTCAATATAAACATTTCCAAACAAATACGAAAGTAGAAAGAGTAGTATAATGCACCTCCATGTGCTAATCAGGCCAAGCTTGTTTTATCTATCCCCCTCATACACACATTATTTTCAATAACAGCTTGAGATATCTTTATGTAGCATAAAATTCACCCTCTTAAAGTGTATAATGCAGTGGGTTTTAGTATATTCAAAGGGCTGTGAACCACCAGTATCTAATTTTAGAGCATTTTCATCACCTCAAAAGCCAGTCACACTCACTGCCTTTAGCTCCCCATTTCCCATTTCTCATGGCCCTAGACAACCACTGATCTGTCTGCTCTATGGATTTGTCTGTTCTGAATAGTTCATACATGGATACATACATAGTTTCTTTCATTTAACATGCTTTCAAGGGAAGTTTCTCTTCAAAAACCTGAGATGTGTGTCTGTCTTCCTCTGTTGTCCCCACACTGAGCTCTGAGCACAGCCATCTGTTCACAATAGGTGATGACGCTGAGATGGGAGATGTGAGGGCCCTTCTCCATCCACAGGTCACGTCAGCTCCTCTTGTCTCCTGCTCCTCACAGGCCTCCTGTGGTTGGCACCTTGCCCACCAGTCTCAGAGGAGAAAACCAAACCCGCAGAACTTTACTGCCCAGTCCCACAAGGCACTCACAGGGGGACTAGAGCCCATGTGTCCCCTAGAGCAGGCCCTCTGTGCGCTGCTGTTCTCAGAACACCACTGGGAGATGATCGACTTGAGAAGATGACACGCGGAGCCAGTGAAAGATTTATTCACAACTAAGATTTCCCACACAGGATCAAATACTGACCGTTCACCAAGTTCAAAAAGTTTGGAGGAAGGTTTGGCTAGAATATTCGGTAAGTACCCTCCTCACGTGAACCCCTTGGGCTGTGTTTGAGCATCTCGAGCTTGCTCCTGGCCGGCCCCCAGATGACCTGTCTGCTGCCCTGATGGGAAAGGAGGTGCTTTGCATGGAGGCTGGAACCAGTTCTCTAAGTGGCAGAGTCCCAAGAAATCATCAAAAGCATAGAAGAGCAAAGGATTCTGCTCCTCACAGAAGGGTCCATCCTCTGGCAGGTGTCAGAAGTGCAGCCTCAGCGCCACCCGGGACCAGGTGCATCCCTGATGCCTGGAAGGTGCCCAGGAGATGCTGCTGGTGGTGGAGGTAGTGAGGCCCTGAGGCTGAGATCGGCCTTCTGCCCAGGTCCTCAGCCTAACTGAGCATGACGGACCCCTGGGAGATTGTCA